GATTTCTAACATCTTCTGTTAGAAAAGTTCACAAAGCTGGCAACACTGGGCCCCACACACCCAATGGCACCAACAGAGTGTGGGAGCCTCTGCCTGCATGTGCGTGCGTGCGTGTGGCTGTGTGTGTAAAGAGGGACCTCGGTTTGCCAGCCCGACCCACCCTGCCCACTCTGGCCCCTTGGGAATTTAAATTTACCCATTGCTCTAAGACCCAGGATTCTTTCATTTCTATATTTTGAAAGTAATAATATCTGAACTTCCTGCCATTTCAGATCGAAGTTTCTATCAGATTTATATATTCCTTATATTTTAGATTTGTATCAGACTAGCTGTTAAAGAAAATAAAAATAAACAATATCTGAAAACATAAGTCCAAATGTTGTCATTATTATGAGATTTAAACTTTTCTTTCAAATTCAGGGCACTACCGCGAGACCGCAGATTCACTTTCCACTCTTACCATTTTCCTTTGATGGAAACGTCCTCATTTACCTTTTGCAGAGTACTTTATGCTTTTCACTCTCTCCCGTATTAAAAAAGGTAACCCACATACCTCACAGATAAAGCTGCAAGTGACAGCCACTGTGTTCCCTTCCTTTCCGTGTGGTCCTCCCTCTTTCCTGTGGTGACAGCACCCCGATTCCCCAATCGTCCACTGAGGACTCACCCTAGCCATCCTGGTCAGGACTGGGGACTACGACCCAGACAGGGCGAAAGAGTCGGCCCTGAGGCCTCGGCCGTGAGCAGTGGGGAGGACGGTGCCCTTCTGGGTGTGTTAACAGACACACTGCAGATGCTGGAGGCCATTTTTTGCTGCCACAAAGGGATAATTTGCCTGAGAAAAAAAGTGAATCGAGGAAAGCAAAGTAGGAAACGGGAGAGATTCTAGCCTGTATTGTAAAATACAGTCGCCACTAGCCCCACGTGGCTGTTTCGATTTAAATAAATTAGCTCAAGTGACATTAAATTAAAAATTTCATTTCTCAGTTGCACCAGCTACATCTCAGATATGTGGCAGCCGCGTGTGGGCTAGTGACTACGTCCGGAGTGAGCGAATACAGGACGTTCTCGTCACTGCACAAAGTTCTACCAGATGGCACTGCTGTATCTGTGCTGAAGGTCTAGCCCTGACTTTTTGGCTTTGTGAGCTAATAAATCCCTTTTTATTTAAGCAAAAGGAGTTGGGTTTATTCATAATCCAAAGGATCCACAGGCAGAAGCCCCCACGGGCTCTCTGGGACCTGCCCTCGCATGTGGCTTCCATCTCATCTGGGTTCTCCTGCCACCGAGCTCAGTGCCAGAGAAAATCACCTCTGGGTCCAAAATGCAGTTAAGCAAATGACACTCAAGAACACTCAGGGACTGGCTCCGTGGCCGAGTGGTTAACTTTGTGCGCTGCGCTGCGGTGGCCCAGGCTTCGGATCCTGGGCGCAGACATGGCACCGCTCGTCAGGCCACGCTGAGGCAGCGTCCCACATCCCACAGCTAGAAGGACCTGCGACTAAGATATACAACTATGTACGGGGGGGGTGGGGAGATAAAGCAGAAAAAAAAAAAAAGATTGGCAACCGTTGTTAGCTCAGGTGCCAATCTTAAAAAAGAAAGAACGCTCAGGCCACTGCACCATTTCCTATTGTTTCTTCAATTAGAAAACAATGAAGAAGTAGAAGAAATGGGTGTTGAAAACAGATGTCTTCCATAGGTACCCATTCATGTTTGTCAGCTTAACAATAATTAGGACAAAGGACGACACAGAAGAACACAAGAATAGTTCTTCCCCCCTTGAAAGTGTTTTAACATCAACAATGTTGAAATAAACTGACATGACGTGCCTCCTGACACGATACAGTGAAGACAGAACATCATATATGTAGTTTTCTTGCCCAAAACACGTAACTTGAACCTAACGATGAGGAAACAGACAAATTCAAACTGAGGAAGGGTCTACAAAGCATTTGCATTTACTTTTCAAAAATGTCAATATTGTGAAAGACAAAGAAAAGCTGAGGAAAGGAGACCAAAGAGACGCGACACCAAAATGCGACGCAGGATTCTGGATAGGATCCTGGGTCGGGGAAAAAATTTTCCCTAAAGAGCAACGTGGGGACAATTGGGGAGATTCAAGTATGACTCAGATAATCTCACTGGATCAATTGACATTTTTTGAATTTGATAACTGACCTGCGGTTGTATCAGGGCATGTACACGAGAAGGTTCCAGTTCTTGGGGAGTATATGCTTGTCTGTGGGAGTTAAGGGGTGATCTCTGCAACCAATTCTCAAATGTTTCAGGAACAAAATACACAGACACATGAAGCAAATGTGGGCACAGTCTGGGTGAGCGGGATAAACTCTACTTTTCATGTAGCTCTTTTCTAGCTTTAAAATTATTTCAAGATAAAGCAAGCAAGCAATACTGTACTTTTCTTCCCCCTTCAGAAAAAAAATCAGTATTTTCCATGCCAAATCTCTCAAGTGGAAAGCAAAGTGTTTCACGGGTGTTTTCCAAACAGCGCATTCTGAAATTGTTTGGGGATGTCCCAGTAAACATTTTAAAAAATGGAATAGAAAATCAGAGCATTTTTCATGGAATAAAGTTTTACTTTGTGAAACTTTCAATGAGACATATCTATATATGTGTGTGTGTATATATACATACATATCCGTGCACTGGATCACGGTGTTCAATGCATTTCTTACGGGTTGCAGTTTTTAAAAAATGTTTCAAAGCCATTATACTAGTTATCTTCACTAGGGTGACACAATTCATCTGAGACAGCCCCAGTTTGTGCCTGTTGTCCTGCACAATTAACGGCAAGTCCCTTCACTGTCAAAAGTGTCCCTATTTGGATTATAAATTATAGTCACTGTTGTTTGAAGCCACTTAAATTCTTTTTTATAATAAGGTACAGTACAGATAAATATGGTTGGTGGCCAAAAAAGGACTTTTTAATAAGAAGAACGAATTTACATATTATTTGTATGATTGAAAAAAATTTTAAGTTATCTTTACTAATACGGTATTAAATAACTTTGTTATCCATCCCTTGGGATTATAATGAACTAGATAATTATAATGAACTAGAAAATGACTTTCTATTCCACAGAGATCACTGGTTTTAGAACAAATACCATTTCCAAAACAGAGCCTTTTAAAATGGGAAAAAACCTAAATACAGCTTGTAAATAAAATACAAACTTCAGTGAATTTTAATATTCACTTATAAAATACACACCAAATGTTGTAAAATAACAATAAACACATTAGCTTTTAAAATATTATCTAAACCTTACTTGTTTCTAGGGAAGAACTTGGTAAATCACTACACACTGAAGGCTTTTAAATTATTAAATCTAACTGAATAATTCCCTTTATATTTACATCTAATAGCCAGTCAGACATCCACCTAATTACAGCACTTATGTAGCATGTAAGTGATTTTACTAGTTAGGAGGCAACTAGTTAGTGCTTTACCCCACCAGTCACAGCCACCATCACCAAGTGGTCAGCTGTCACAAATAACTGAGTCAAGACTCCCAGCGTCTTCTAAGTACGGCCCTCCGACCCTGCTGGAGAGCTCAGCTGCTAAACTCACTGGCACACACTCGTGAAGCTTCATTGCCCACAATTAAACCTTCCATCAATCTACAAGATGGAAAACGAAACGGTCACCTGTTGCCGCTAAGCGTTAATGCAAGCCCCTTAAGGCTCACATCCAGAACAGGGGCTAGCTTTTCTTTGTAAATATCTGCGACTTCTAGGATTTTTCCTTAAAATCAAATTTAATTCTTTTTTTTTTTTTTGAGGAAGATTAGCCTCGAGCCAACATCTGCTGCCAATCCTCCTCTTTTTGCTGAGGAAGACTGGCCCTGAGCTAACATCCGTGCCCATCTTCCTCTATTTTATATGTGGGACGCCTACCACAGCATGGCTTGCCAAACTGTGCCGTGTCTGCACCGGGGATTCGAACCGGTGAACCCTGGGCCACCAAAGTGGAACGTGCACACTTAACCGCTGCACCACCGGGCTGGCCCCTCAAATTTAATTCTTCACCCAGACTGGAGAAGTGGCAGCAGCAGCAGGAACTCAAGATACAAAGCGCTGGGGTCAGGTGTGGGGGTGAGAGGGATGTTCTTGCTCCACACGGTTGTTTCACAGACGCTGGAACCGGGATGAGGATCAGGGACCAGAGGCCACGCCATCCGTCCCCATCGATGAGGCGAAGACCTCTAAGATCTGATGTCGAATTTTTACTCAGGATTTTCAATCTGTTTTTAAACTGGGGTTTGGAACCAGAAGGATCAGCCCCGACACCGGCTGGCATAAGAGCGAGCGCAGAGACCCACTCAGCCAGTGACAGGGGGACAAGCTGGGGTTCGAAATGGTTCAGGAAGATGGTCTGATGTATGTCAGGCCTTCCACAGTGTTCAGCACAAACTGAGTTCCATCCACATAGGCAACAGCATGTGGGGTGGCGATAAAAGTACAAGTGAGTTCGAATTTCAGAAGATAAAACTGTCCCATTACAAACTATTTTTGCCTTGTTTCAGATAATCTTGAACAATGTAAGCGGTGACTCTGAATGGCATCGCACACAACCTCTCACCCCATCAGAACTGACCTCATTATAAACGCTACCTTCCAGGCCACAGCCATATGCTCACACACAGTTGCAGCAAACGTACATACAATTTGCTGTTTATCTTTTAAAAGTTAAAAGTTAAAAAAGCCAGGGACTTGTTATAACTCAGTAATTTTCTCCCGACCCATTTTACATAATGGGTGCTTGGTAAATATTTGTTGGGTGACTTTCCATATATTTGCAAACAAGAAAATAGCCTTTATACAAGTCTATCTTTATTTGTAAAAAATAAAATACAACTAAAGCTAATTTGATTTTTAAAATCAAAGTTCATTTAGTGATAATGTACATTTTATAATAAAATTGTAGTAAAATACTGACATTTGATAGTTTAAACAAAGTATCATTCATGTAAAAATCATGTTGTCGCATGTAAAATTTAATTAGAAAATTCATAGTTCACAAAAGTACATATATTTTGTTGATAGCTCATGAGAACATTATCATAAATTTACTTAAGATACAGAACAAAATTCACAGTTAGGCCTGACATTGAGTACTATAAAATCTTATGCTGAACCCACTGATACTGTTGTTAATAAGGAACACTTGAAATAACTGATTCAGACTACCAAGGAATTGACATTTTATTGTATAACCAAGATCTATTGGTTTTACAATACGTCTAGTAATCAATCATTTTAGCAATAATTTAAAGGAGAGATCTAGTTGAAAACACCGTTGACATATACCCTTAGCAGGATAATTAAAACAAAACGCACTAGCAGCTCTGATTTCCATTTTCATGAATACATACAAGACAGATCTGTATTTTACAGTTAAAATTTGTACAAAAAGTCAAGCCCTGAAGTGTTTCCCCTCCCCAAAAGTTCTGATGTTAAAACTTTGTTAAAAAAAAAAAAGAGAGAGAGAGAGAGGTAGTGTGTGAAAGTATTTTTACTTAAAATGTTGAACCCCTGCACCGCTTATAATATAAATGAGATTAAACCTTCTACAGAGTAACATTATTTTGCCATTCAAGAGTCAAATTTATAAAACTCACAGAATGTTAAAGCTGGAATGCTGTTAAAAGACAGTGGTATATCCGTGGGAGAACTTCGGTGAATTCAACAAAAAGTACCATGTATTCCAGAATGTGCGGTTAAGAGTTTAGCGATAATATGTTTAGCGGTAACGTGAACAAAATACATGTAAGTGTTCTGAGTCAAGCGATCTGCACTTAGTCCACTTGACTGCTTCATATATTTTTACCATAGAGAGAAAATATCCTTCAAAACGGAGTCATTTGATTCTTCATTGTTTTAACAGCATACAATTGTTATAAAAGTACCCATCCTAGCCCCACCATAAACTTCATCAATAAATAACCGAGAGAAATACCCATAAGCCAGTGGGAACTTAGGTACTCCATACTCTCCTTAGTTCTATATACAAGCATCCTGCCGTGCTTGTGCACGTCGTACAATGAAGCCAGGCAAGGAGTGAAAGCAGCCTCACTCTCAACTCGTTCTAAGTGGATGCACTGGAAAGTAATAAATAGCCTCTTCAAATTAATAGCGATAAACTCTACCTGTCCAAGGTGAATACTTAGTATTTTTCATAAAGTGTAGACAGTGTTCCTAGAAATCTCACTAAGGAAAACCCAAATTTTTCATATAAAAAGTGCACAAGTTTGTCCTGTGTGTCAAAGTCTCTTAATTTGGGTGCATTTTTTGTCCAAAATGATTCGCGCTACTCGAATACATTAAAAAGACTATGAACGCACACCAACAAAATGCACACACCAACAACAAAAGGAAGGATTTCCACTGAGAGTGGGAACGAGGACAAGAAGAGGTTGGGGAGAGTCTCCCACGTGACCAGAGTCGATGGAACTGCCGTCCACAACATCAGTTACACGCACGTGGAATGAGTGTGTAAATATGAAAGCTCTAAGAGGGACACACGCGAACTCCAACAACTGTTACAGAGTCTTAATCCAGGAACAGAGCTTCAACGCTTTACGACATAGGAAGCAACTCCTAGAACAGTCAACTGGTTTGATTTCTTAGAAATTAGAGAAAAAAGCATTTGAAAAAATTACTTAATTAGCAACAGAGGAACAACATTAAGGAATCAGAACAAAATACAGGGAACATAGGAGCTGAGGTCCCCAAGGTACCAAAAGATAGAGTCAGACTTCTTCACATTAGAATTTTAAAAAGTACAGTTAAAGGAAAAACTAACTGGGCCCTGCACAGCAGGTTAAACACGCAACCACTTCAGACAGAAAGGACCGGCCCTCTCTCGCGGTTCTGAGAGCGTGCTCGACACCCAGGCCTCCGCAGACGCAGAGCAAAGCACATCCCTTCATCAGCCAAGGCCCCTTTGTTTAGACTTAAATTCACCTCTGACCCACCAAAGTTTATATTAACAATTACCAAATACTATTTTAATAACATTTTAAGCTTGCAATATTATTTTTCTCATGCCTATTCCAGGTTACTGGTTCAGAGGTATATATGCTTTAGCCAAATTTACAAGTCCCCACAGCATCCTCACTCGGAAAACATCCGAACAACCGTTTCATAGTGTTATAATTGTTCCATCTTCTTCTAGGAGCTTCTGATCTGGAGCACGAGTTTCAAATTCTGTACTTGGGCCACTTGCTACAGGTGCTAAGCTTACTTCGTTAGAAGGAAGGAAACCATTCTGTCCAGACTCAAAATTGAGTTCTATTTGTGTTAATGATTCCAGGCTCTCGGTATTGGGAACAGCTCTGGGAATCTGCTGTGGCACCCCGTTATCTTCAATGACGATGTCCTCGTCATCGCTGTCTTCCTCCTCTGGCTCCAGGCTTGGTTCCATCTGCTGTGGGCAGCCGAGAAGGCTGTTATCGGTAGACTGGCCCGAGCTGCCGGAAGTCCGACTGTTCCTCACAACGTTATTCCTCTGGTTCGCCGGTCTCACTGTGATGATGAGGTTGCGGCTGTTTGCAATCATCATGTCTGTTACTTGATCCAGACTCTTTCCGGAAACTTCTATGCCATTAACTTCCAAAACCTCATCATTAACAGCTAACAGTCCTGTGCTCTGAGCCAGACCTCCTGGGACGAGTCTGGATATAAAGATCCCTGGGACCTTCTCTAAGCCGTGTGGTGTCACCCTGACACTGGAGCCGTCCCGGATATAGAATCCGAGGGGCTTCTCAGTGCCGTATTTGTATAGACGGACCCTGCGATGCGTTTCTGGGAGAATGTCCACGTCTATGATAGAAGACACAGGCCTGAAGTCTTGAGGCAGACTAATGACTATATGTGGCTTTTTCCTATGGTTGTCAGGACGCAATACATTGGTTAAAACATTCTTCTTCTTTATTAGTGTGTCTGTACCAAAGGCACTGTAGTCTGCTTCTTCTGTTTAAAAATAAAATAAAATAATTATGGAAATGCTGTGAAAACACCCATTTATCTACAGCTGAGTCTGTACTGAAAGGATAACAAATGTATTTGGTACATAAACAAACTAGTTAAATATGAGCTTATTCTAACCAGATCAAAGTGTAGCGCAGCACTAAGATTCGCTATAGGACAAAGCAACAGGCGGCCCTGTCAAGGACACGTCATAAAACCAGCAAACGCTGAAGTCAAACCTGATAAAGCTCAATGACGACTAACATTAAGTGCGGCAAGCGAAAGCCTGCTAAGTCTGACAAACAGATTCCTAAACATCATTTTAAACAGTTACTTAAAATGTATTTTTCCGCCATTTGTTTAAAAAAACGCTCCAATTTGCCTGTTTATCATATTCAACTCAGCGACATGAAAAGGACACTTTTGATTGACAAGTAAATCAAGAGAACAAATGATGTAACTAAACGAAGTAGATAATATCCATTAAATGATAATGTAATTAAATGAATGCATATCAAACAGGACTTTGGGTCTTCTGCAAATAAACACTCTGTTTTCCAGGGGAGTTCTTTTTTTTTTTTTTTGAACTTTTTTCTTTTTTGAACATTTTTTTTGAGGAAGCCTGGCCCTGAGCTAACATCTGTGCCCATCTTCCTCTACTTTATACGTGGGAGGCCACCACAGCATGGTGTGCTAAGCGGTGTCATGTCCACACCCAGGATCCGAACCGGCGAACCCCGGGCTGCCAAAGAGGAACGTGGCGCACTTAACCGCTGCTGCCACCAGGACAGCCCTACCGGGGGAGTTCTTAATCTTTCACTTTCCCACTTTGAAAGAGGCTGATGTGTAAGACTCTTAACTTTTTTCTTCACTGTGTGAAAACCATCAAGTGCAATGACATCTTGTCTCAGTGGTGGTGACAGACAACACGGGGTGGTAAGGACTCTGGCAAACGGGAGCTCCTGCCCCACTTAAGGGCACAGCTCCTCCTCTTCCAGGCAGTCGCCCTTCATGGACTGTAGGAATTTGTGCGGCCAGATCCAATCTGCCAGAGAGTCTTATTTTTTAGGTAAAAATCTCCCCATTTTTAAATGCCGACACCTAATTAAACAAAAACCTGTGTGAGCCAAATAACATCTGGGGGTTGAATTCATTCTTCAAACCAGCAATTTGTAATCTCTGATGTAAACCAAGGGCAAACAGGGCACCTAAAACCAGATATTCTTCAATCCCAGCGCGCAGGGAAGACAGTCTACAAATAAAACATCTCATCCGGGAAGAAGCGGAAACGAAATCAACAGCAGGCACAAAGGTTTAAATCACGATGAAAAAATAACTGGAATGGCAATAAACTAAAAAGCCAGAAGCTTCAAGGATAAAGAAATATTTACTAAGAATAAAAGAGGTAAAAGCCCCTCCTTCTTCAAAAAAAAACTAGTCCAGAACCCTAGCGTCAGCGGCTCCTGCAGCTGACGGTGGCGTCGCGGCTCCCATTCCCCCACCCCGACCGGCACTCTCCCCGCTGTGAGTGTATCATCATCCTCACTGCACACACCAGGAGGTTAAGGGTACAAAGAAAGTGACACAGAAAAGACTGGACCCAGGCTTTCTCCCTAGGCCAATACCTTACACATTCACATCGTGACTCTTAAGTGTCGACTCGTGTCAGAGAACGGAGACCTTCAGGATTCTTTTCTCATGCTGCTTGGACAGTCTTCAAAAGCTAGTTTCAGAGAAGTGTACAAGACTAGGGGTAGCTTATTTTGGGGGATTGTTTCCCCCTGGGGATAATTTTCTCTTCATTTATGTGTTCTTACAGAGTCAGGAACTTACCATTTGGCTTTGGAAATAAAGCTATTGAAACAAGAATCTTTTTGGCAAAATCTGGCCAAAAATCTATCAACAACAGTATTCTACTGAATGTGTTTTCTCAAAATTATATATTTTCATTTTAAAACAATCAATTAAGAAAGCCCACATAATATTTATAAGGGAAATTCCAGATCATACAAACGGAGAACAAAATCCAGTTGCCTACATACATACTCATGGGAAACCTGACCAAAAACCCCCAAATCTGCATAATTTGGCACCGCATCCAGACTCTGTGTGAATGCTCTCTCCTCAATTCTCTAAAGCAATATGCCCCAGCACAAAGGCACCTTTGTTCTCCCATCTGGCTAATCAGTTTCCAGCCACTGGGAAAAGAAATATGTTGGCGGAAGGCCAGGTGCAGGGTGTTAGGGCAAAGGGTAAAGGTGACAGTCCAGCGGGAACGGCAGGTGACTTTCTACCTGAGTCTGTGCTCAGAGCACTAAACTCAGAAGGAGACGCAAAGCTGTGAAACTTGGTTCACAGCAACGTTCCACTTTATAAACCCAGGCTTAAGCGACAGTACATGATACAGGCTCATCCAGCAAGACCTCACTTATGCCCAGCCTGTCCCTCAGCCAACAATCTGGGCTACCTAAACGGACAAGGATCCACCCGGAACGGCCCTGAGTAGCCACAGTAGACATCTCCCTTCCTTACACAGAAAGCCCCCGTGCTTTACTCACCAAGGGGCCCTGCAGGCCCTGGCCCTGGCCCTCTTACTCTTTAAACATGAGTTCTGAAAAGCCTGGCTCTCTCACTCCTTAGCTCACACAGAGCCCTAACTCACAGATTCCCAGTAGGGGGCAAGGGTCCACCAGGGAGTGGCAGGCGCAGATACAAGAAACAAAAGCCTACAGTGAATAAGGACCAAATCTGGAAGAAAAAAACCAGCCTTTATATCAAGCCCATTAGCAGCCCTGTACGCTAACAAAACAGCAACAGCTCATGGTGGAGTCATCGAGAAAGCTCAAGATACAAACCATCTGAAGTTGAGCAGGAAGACAGGGAAGAACGAAATAATTTTTGAAGCTGTTCTAATGCAGGGGTTGACGACCCTTTTGCATCAAGAGTTGTAGAGTAAAACTTCACGTACTGCGGGTCACACGGTCTCTGCTGCAAACGCTGCCACGGGCAACAACGCACCGGGCATGGGGGTTCCAAGAAAACCTGTTTACGCAAACACCAGCAAGCCTTAGTTTGCCAACCCTTGTTCTAATCCAAAATGATTAAAGGAAATAGATCTGGCAACTTTAAAAGGATTAAACATCACTTCAAGTATTATTCAAATTTTGCAGAATCTCCACTTCCTAACATAAGAAAAATCAATCCCTAAATCCCTAAATATTTAAGGAGCATCTACGATGGGGCCAGGCCTGGAGCTCTGTGCTGCAGCCAGCGAACAAAGCAGGTGAAGGTGCTCGCTGTCATGGTGCTTACGGCCTAAAAAAAGGAGACGGCAACGAACACAATTTCAAACAATTCAATCACCACAAAGGTGCCAAGAGCTGTGAGGTACCCAGTGCTGCCTGCAGGGCGAGGCAAGGCTTCTCTAGGAAAGTGAGGTTTACGCTGAGACTGAAAAGAAGCCAGCAGCTAATCAGGTAGAAGGGAGGGAAGAACATTCCAGACACAGGATCCAGGAGATACAGAGAGATGGGGTAGACAGAGGAGCTCACTAAGGTGAAAACGAAGGGAGGGGGAGGAGTCAAGAGCCAAGTCAGAGGAGCAGCCAGGGGCAGGCAGACACACAGGGCCTCCTGGGGAGTGTCGAGGATTATGGACTTCAGCCTAAGGGCAAGGGGAAGAAAACCAAGGATTTTGGTTTTTCTATACAGCTCACTCTGGCTGCAGCTGGAGAAAGGCCCTGAGGGGCAAGAGAGGAGGCTACCCAGTCATTTAGGATGGCACCTGGCCTGGAGCAGAGGCCTGGAGATGATAAAGGAAACAAATTTGGAAAATAATTAGAACATAGTTTTAATAGGCTTGGTGACTAAAAATAGGTATGTGTCAAAGGTGACACCCAGGTTTCTGTCATGATCAACCAGCGTCATGTTCTGAGATGTTTCTCCACAATTTCTTCTTTTCATTAATTTTTTATTTCTGGGCCATACCTTTTGTTAAATTACTTTTTACAATTAACTATTTTTTTGCCTTTTTTTTTTTGAGGAAGATTAGCCCTGAGCTAACATCTGTTGCCAATCCTCCTCTTTTTTGCTGAGGAAGACTGGCCCTGAGCTAACATCCGTGCCCATCTTCCTCTACTTTATATGTTGGACACCTACCACAGCATGGCTTGACAAGCGGTGCCATGTCTGCACCCGGGATCCGAACCAGTGAACCCTGGGCCACTGAAGGGGAACATGTGTACTTAACCGCTGCGCCCCCGGGCTGGCCCCAACAATTTACTATAAAAACGTATATCCCTTAGACATTAAACCCTGATTCATTAAAATATAACCTTAAAATACATCTGCAAATAAGCCCACTGCACAGTAAAGTTCTGAGATGGCGCGGGTGCCTGTCCCATCACGGGCGTCTGGGCCACAGGGCCACGTCCTAAGTGAGACGATGTTTAAGGCAAGGCCCTTCTTGTGTTTCTAGCAAACTCTTTTGAATACATCTGAGATGTAAACGTATTTGTTTGATGTCATACAAAAAGAGGGGGCGATATAGCAAGAAGCTGCGGTGTAGACATTCGGATCAGATCTGGCAAGCAGCCTGTGCACATCAGCGGACCCCAGACTCGGCTGATCCTCACGGCCGGCTGGGGAGCTTTTAAAAAGTACACATTTCCCTGGCTCTATTCCAAAGCTGCTGAAAGGACCTGAGTATTTTTTAAAGGTACAACCTTTAAATGTTTTCTGCAATTGTCTACTGCAAATAACCTAACAACAAGAGGAGGAAAGCGCTCCTCTGGCCTTCTCGTCTCCTTCCCCAAACAGATGAGGATCCTCTGGACTCCAGGAGGGGGCGGGGCTGGCACAAAACCTGGGAATCCTCTTTGTGAAAATAACTTTTAAGATATCAGGTTTTCTGTTTTGTTTTCACTTCCATGATAACAGTCCTAGAAATAGAGTGTATGGTTTTCCTTCTAACAATAAATTATTATAAAACACAAAACTTTTCAAGACAGGCAACACTATCTTTGAGTTCAGGCTATAAAGAAGTTTATGCATTCAATTGTGAGCTTTCACTTCAAACAAACTTTATTTAGTAGAGCGTATCAGATTTTAAAAGATCACATAGTTTTAAAATTTAAAATGGGGGGCCGGCCCCGTGGCTGAGTGGTTCCAAGTCCAGTGCACTCTGCTTCAGGGCCTGGGTTCGTGGGTTCGGATCCCAGGCACAGACCTACACCACTTGTCAGCAATGCTGTGGCGGCAACCCACATACAAAATAGAAGAGGACTGGGACAGATGTCGGCTCACGGCTAATGTTCCTCAGCAAAAAAAAAAATAAGAGAATTAAAATGGTCTGGAAATCTGTTTTTAAAAAATCAACTGGTACCATATCTAGTGTAACAGCTGCCCTGTTGATTCCTAAATTGGAATCAACAAGCCAAGAAAACGGAGTATGTGTTGCAATGAACCAGTAAAATGTAGCTATATTTAATGTCATGCTTTATATTAGTTTCCTGAATTTAATGTCCATTAAAGTTTACATAAAATCAACTTTATACTTAAGCATCGATTGAGTTTTGTGTAGAAGAAAAAAGTATCACCATGAAGCACAGGGCAGTGTCTGTAAGACAGACAACAAACAAGTGAGCTTGTACTTAACTAAGGTAATTCCAGGTCCTCAGAGGGCAATGTGGTAACGGTGGGTGCAGGGGCTTGCCTGGGGGTCAGAAGAGGCCCGGGGGGAAGTTCCAGGAGCTGAGGTCCAAGGGAGGAGGAGGAGGAGGCAGCCGGAGGCAGCCGTGGCAGGAGCTGGGGGAAGCGCGCTTAACAGAAGCAGCAGCAAGTGCAACAGCCCGGAGAGGGCAGCGGGCCTCCCAGGCCTGAGCGACAGAAAGACGCTGTGCAGCGGCCGTGCCGTGGGAGCAGAGGAGGAGGCTGTGAAGTCCAGCCAGGAAGGGTCCTATTCTGGGTGTGATGGGAAGCCGGTGGAGGGCTTTAAGCAGGGACAAACTGACCAAAACTTTCTTTCATTTTTTGCTTAAGTCCCATTTGTATTAAATTTATATTTTTAAAAACAAAAATTTTCTGTTGAATGGACTGCCTATTTTTTTTTTTTTGTGAGGAAGATTGCTGCTGAGCTCAAATCTACAGCAATCTTCCTCTACTTTACGTGGGATGCTGCCACAGCGTGGCCTCATGAGCGGCGTGTAGGTCCACGTCCAGGATCTGAACCTGCAAACCCCAGACCACTGAAGCAGAGCGCATGAACTTAACCCCTGCGCCACCAGGCCGGCCTCAAATGGATTGCCTATTTCTAAACCAAATTTCAAGGATTATTAATCGTACTGGAGGTTTACCTCGATGACATGGAGAACTTCTGTTCACGCATAAACACATTTCAAAAGGAACGAGCAGGAGACAACCATCCCCAGAAGACGCTAGGATTAACCCCACAACCACTTGGGCATTACAATTCCAGTAACAAAAACTTGCCACAGTATAATGCAACCCCTGGAACCTTTCTAACAAAGAGGATAACCCAACAAAACTTTGCCAGACAGTCATTCTCCATTTGAAAGCACATTGCAAACAGCAACTAAATTTTTCTTGAGGAAGATTAGCCCTGAGTTAACTGCTGCCAATCCTCCTCTTTTTGCTGAAGAAGACTGGCCCTAAGCTGACATCCGTGCCCATCTTCCTCTACTTTATATGTGGGACGCCTGCCAAGCAGTGCCATGTCCACACTTGGGATCTGAACCAGTGAACCCCGGGCTGCCAAAGCGGAACCGCTGCGCCACCAGGTCAGCCCCTAAATTTTTAATGAAAATTACAACTGCTAACAACAAAGGCCGACAATTATTTAAATCATTCTGCTGAAAATGACAAGCTCCACTCAAACGTTTTGTCCTTCTCTCCTCTACTGCCGCTCTCTCTTCTCCAACATTCTGTGCACAGCTTTCCAGGGGTCTGTCCCACAGTCTTCATCTCCGCTAGCCCTTCGATCTACTCCTGAAAGTTACAACTCTCATTTTCCTGCCTCTCTGACCAGCCTCTGGATTTCTACCCCGAGCTCCAGTCTCCCATTTCCAATTTCCTACATGGCACGGTTGAAAGGCACCTGCCAGATAAGCCTTTCTGTCCTAAAACCAAACCAATTTTCTTTCCAAGTCCATCCCTCTTTCAAATTCTGCTTATGACACCATCCCAGCCATCAGGCTCCAAGCCAGAAAGCCTTTCTCTGTCGATTCCTCTTCAGCTCTGCGCCATCCAGCAGGGGGGCCAGCAACTCTCAAGTTCACCCCAGCGTCTTCCAGCACTGCACTCCTCAGCCTCCTCCTCTCCACGGCCTTGCTCTCTCCTCTAAGAGTGCTGGTCACTCCAAAGCATCCTGACGGCCCAGGTACTCTTCCCAAAGTAATAGTCTAATTGTACCACCCTCCACTTACACGTCTATGAAATCCACCTCAGGAGTCTTGGGGGGGGAATTAATTTCTGTGTTTATAAGTATTTTGTAAATAGTCAACTGATATACATAAACATAAGCTACCCTTGGAGGTTTATTTTGCTGGCAGACTTTAGTTCCTCCAAACCCAGACAAGCAAAGATACACAATCAGTGGAATTTCAAAGCCCTGGGAGTGGTCCAATGCTTATCAGCTGGTTGGAAATAAAGTTTCACCTTCAAGGCTAATCCCCACCCTTTCTCTCAGACTGCTCCCTGGGGCGGTTTACAAACCCGGCAAGGCTCTCCTCATCCCGCCCAGAGCGCGCCTGCTACTCTCACCGGGGATCTCCAACCTCTTCACTTACCAAAGACAAAGGAGTAAATGGCACACACCATGCCCATCTGCAGACAGAGACACACGGACAGACACAGACACATGGACAGACAGAGACACACACACAGAGGAGGCCACAAAGTTTAAAAAAACGTTTTAGGACTCAAAACACATTTGAAAATGCTTGGCATGTAGAGTCGTTATTTCAAATGTTCTTTTGCAAGACTAATATCAGTGTTTACATTCCTCCAAAATAATCACTTGCTATCTGATTTTCTAGACAATCAACTAGTTGTATTTCTCTGAAAAATAGCCTAAAATAGAAAGGAAAGAAAACACTTGCTGGATGCCTACTACGTACTAGGACGTGGCACTTAGCTCATTTCATCTTTCCAGTAATCCTGTGAGACAACAAGTCCACTCTATAGATAAAGACACTGAGACCCAGGAAAGATGAATAACTTTCCCTTGGTTAAACAGTAAATACAGCACTCGGAAGTTGGCTGCCCCCAAAAAACTAGAAGGTTTCTCTGACTCCAAAGTCATACTCTTTAAACCACATCTTTCTGAATGGACAAAATTCCACTCAATGAAATGAAGATTCAATAAATTCCTAGATTCTATTAAAAAGAAACCTAAGAGAGTACAATTAAAGTAATTAAAAACACAAATTTCCTAAAATACACTCAGTGAGGTATAAAGATATTAATAAAACCAACACTATCACAAAGGTTTTAATCCACTTGTTAGGTAACACGGTAAGAAGTCACACAAAAATGTCTCTTCATTGAGTTTGTGGCATTCATTAAGTCTGCGTATTCCATCAATGAGGCAAATTATAAACTACTTCTGTTTCTAAAATAATTTTCCTAAACGGTGGTACTTACCCTTTTTTTGTATAAAAATCCTAAGCAGTGGATTGGCTGTTGAAACAGCTTTGTGATAATTATCGTCATTATTGATGGGCAGTAAGTCTCCATGGATGTCAGCATAGCCCACCAAAACGTCGACATTGGGTATCTTATGAACGTGTTGCAGCAATCCATAAAACTCCTCAAATTTTCCAGGTTTTGATCTTTCCAGTGAAAACCGACGGAATTCAGCTCCAAACTATAAATATAATAAACACATTAATTAAAAAAACAAAAGAAACAGGACCCAATTTTAAAATGCATGCCACAGAAAAATCAGCCAGCACAGTATTGTCCTGAATAAAGAAGACAGCTCCCGTGGCAGAATCTGTCGGCAGAGACCTCGTGCATCTGGAGACAGAGCAGCCCAAGAAAGGCTGGGGATGCGCCCTCCCCGGCAGCATCTCTGCGGGACTTCCCTTCAGGAGACGCGGGCTCCCCTCACTCCCTGGGCTGCCCGCGCCTCCCTGGGGACGGTCCTGCAGAGTGACTCAGCGCAAACACCGTCTGGAGCCCGGATCCTGACAGCAGTACTGTCCTCACTCAGGCCACGGGGTACCACAGATGCACCCAAGACTTTGATTTGACAGTTAGCAGAAAGCATCTAAGTTTCCTCCCCCATAAAAGGAATTACGATTTCACAGGAAATGGCAAGAATTAACATCAACACATACAAAAAGAACTTTGAGCTTCTTGGCCTCAGGGTACGATACAAATGGAAGTACATCATATAAGACAGAGGTTTAGAGAGAAGCATCTTCCCTAGTTAGTGCAGAAAAAGCAGCTTTATTAACACATCAAATATATGCCCTCCAACCATCCAATTAACCCAAGAAGTGTTTATGTGCTGGCACGGTGCTGGGCCCCAGAGACAGAAAGCCTGGGGCCTGCACTAGGAGCGCGCCCAGCAGTGAGGGAAGAGAATTACTCCAGAGGCATGAGAGATCACAGAAACAGGGAGGGCGGGCGGTGCCTCCATCACGCCCAATACTTATCTTCACAGCCCGGGCTCTCAGGGCGGCCTCCCCACTCTAGAATCACATCTCTGCTCTCCAGATGCCAAATCACGAGAGCGGCTCTTACTGGACCCTGAGGACCGGCTTTGTCTGGTCCATAACCGACAGGATCTGTGAGTGACTATGGGGCTAGCGCAGCACTGCCTCAAATGTGGAAACCTCAGAGAGGTCCACCAGCCTTCCTCCGAAAGCGGCCCAGTCACGTCCGCTCGGGAGATGCTACATGACTAGAACTGCACTTTCAGGAATCACTGTGGAGCTCAGACACCAAGCCTCTGCTAAGTCCTACAGTTGATTTAAAAAAAAATTTTTAAACAAATGTCTGCCAAACGTGTTTGACCACTGAACTCATTTTCCCTCTAAATAACTATTATCAGCAAGAAATACCAACGTTCCACTAAGACAGCCTGAAACATCAGGCAGAGTCAGGATAATCTGAGCAGGTTACAAACGTGTCAGTCCGTCTTCCCAAGGACCCTCCTGGATCCACTGCTTTTGTGGCATCTAAGTTCCTCCGCCTGCCTACACCCACACTACTCTTAAATTAAAACTCACTAACACCACCTCTTACCTCTAACAAATAATTAAAACAGATTCTAAAACACATTCCTAAAACATAAACACTAACACTTGTCAAACTAGGGTGACTCAGATCTGAAGCTCTCAGAAAGTTTAGTCACATTTCAAAGTAAATAAAAACTTGGGAACACCCTTGCTATCAGAGTTAGTCTATGATGTTATCAAAAGTCATAGTTTCTCCTCCATTTTCCTTATTCTGGTGTCACAACATGGGGCTCCGAGTGCTTTCTGATTCATCCCAGGGTTTATCACCTCCCCGGATACAGGAATGGGAGTAACATCTCATAACTGAACATTTTAGGGCTTCAATGTTTTTGTTAAAGCTTCTGGATGAAAAATCTTTGCTCAGCATTTTTTTCTCTTGCTTAAATGTTATGATAAAAACAATGGAAAACTATATGGCTTCACTGTAGATGAGCCCTTTTGCAAATGTTAGCAGAAAAAAAAAAAGAGAAATTGTTATGCTTCTTGCAGCAAAAAATACGAAGATAGAGACAAAATTGAGACCCAGTCAACAACTCTTCACTACGTAAACCATTTATGACTTTTTTTTAGCCTGGTCTAGTTTGCCCTGGCCACCCAGAACGAGTACGGACACCCTTCTCCCAGGATCTGCTGGTACACTGGAGAAATGCAAACTTAATTTTAATATCCTGTTTGCCCATGAAAAATAATTAGGAAATGTACAGCTCAAAGACTGTTCCAAGGTTATTAAAGGACACCACCTTGATTATAAGAACTTTCCTGACTCAGGAGAAACAAGAAGATAAATCAGTTACCAAAGAAAAGTCACATGGTAGCTGGTATCACAATGTAACTACAGTTATATTTGCATTATCCATTACTTTGATTATTTGCACCATTTCCCCTTCCACGGGCAAAGATGATAAAGTTTTCTATGCAGAAGAAAAAGAGGTCCTGAAATGTGGATCTGCATGTCACCTAGTTGTGGTTACAATCTCTTAGCCATCAGTTTTGTAAAAAGTTTGCCATATCATTAAAGCAGTGAAAAGGGAAATATTGTTTCAAACATCTGACCAAGTATTTCAAATGGTTAAGATGACAAGTGTTTCATTTAACCCATTAAAAATAAATGTATCAACAGTATACGTTAAAACACAAGCGTCACAGACACACTAGAAACAGTACCTATACTGTGACTATTTATCAACAGTTAGAACAAGTGAGACCACACTTCAATTGGCGCAGGCTCTCAGAATGCCTTGATTCTCTTTAAGAGACATGGATCACTAAGAGAGCAGTACGAGAGGTCAAACATACAACATGCAGTTCAGACAAAGTATGGGAAATATTCACAAATCAGATGACAGAAGAGAAAGGTGGAAAGCCAGAAATTCCAGTCCCGATGCGCTCAAGGTTTCCTAGTCCGAGAGACAAATTACTATTTGCTTGTCTTTATCAGTGCGCCTAAGATCCCTACTCACGTTTTCTTATGATAAAAAAATTAAAAATGTAACTCCCAAGATTGGGACCACAAACTGAATTTTAAGATTACACAATATCACAAGCGTTTTTCTTTTTTTAACCTCAACTCCCACAAACCCAAACTAAATTTATAACAGAAAAGCCATCAGCAGGTTCAACGACTGGGCATGGAAACACCAACGCCACCATACTGCTAGAGAAGCTCTCTATATTTTGAGTCATCTTCTCTCTTAGTTCAACCAAGTCACTTCAATTTGCTGTGACAGTTCCATGGAGGCCACAGGGAAGAGCACATTCCTTAAACTGCTATAATTACACTTCCATTCTCATTAAACACACGGGGTTCTGAAACTAGTGCCTATCCTGACACGAGTTAAGTTGCAAATGACACCGTAAAATGTTAAAAATGAATGTGTTCTTGATGGAATGATGTCAGTTACAGCAACTTACAGAACTTTGCTTATCAACTCTAGATAATAAAAACCATTCTACCAGAGGCTCCAGGATCACCCGAAATCACTGCTTGATTTTGCGTCCTAAGTACACGTTCAACGATGTTTCCTTTTTTGAAGTTGATACACTTTTACTTTTCTTCCACTCTTTTACATGTTTTGGTCTTCCCTACTCCATTTTACATGTTCTCAGGGCCCAGCCGGTGTCCTCTCTTTTGTATTCTATAAGCCTAAAAGTTACTCTTTTTTACAAAAAGGCTCTAAGATTTCATCATAAAAGCAGAGCTTGGCAAAGTCGTAACATTTCTGAGCCTCTGTCTTCTCCGGGAAACAGACTAAGTTATCCTAAGCTCCTTCTGGCTCTTCAATTCAAGAAAAGCTTGCTGAAAATGTTCCCGTGGCCGCCGATCACCTTCAAATTCCACTTCAAAACCCTCTTTGGGAAGTGTTCCCTAATTAATCCGCATAGATTACCCTCCTGCTCAGGGACTCCTGCAATTTAGGAATTCAGTAGATACCGACGTAATTATCAGCAGATTGGCATACCGCTGGTCAAGAGCGAAAACACTTGATGTGAAAAGGTAGCACGATGGAATGAAAAGAGCACCACTCTCCGACTGTAAAGTGCTACTCAAACGAAAGGTGATCGTGTTAATTTTATAGACTAAACGCATACCACAGTGAGCGCTAGAAAAATCCCGAGCAGGAAGCAAAGCTAACTTTAAAAGGGCCCTTGGGCGCCCTGGGCTCTCCTTCACCCCTCGACGCAGTCTTGAACCACAGAAAGGGGTAACATTTTGCGACCGAAGCCCTTTTACTCAGAGGCCAGGAGGGAGAATCCCCCCCCAAACCCTTCGCACCACGGGGCGCTCAAACGCCCCCCATCCTTGGGCGGGAACGCGATGAAGCGCTCCAGGTCTTCCCACCTGGGCCAGGAGGAGACGCAAGCCCCCCGCCCCCAGCGCCCTTCTCCGCAAGCTTATCACCCACCATCCCCCGCCTCCAAATCCCACCACCGCCCGCACCGCGCCGGACCCCCGGGCAGCTCCCCGGCCGCCCCGGCCGCCCCAGGCCCCGGCCCCTGCAGGCCCCATCGCGCCGCCCCGCCCCGGCCGCGCGGGCCCGCGCACCTTGCTCTTCACCTCCATGGTGCCCAGGCAGCCGCTACCCGCCCCGTGCCGGTGGCCGCGGTTCATGCTGAGGCCGGGCCGCCCCTCGGGAGTGGGGAGCGAGCGCGCGGCCGGCGGGCTGGGGACCGGCACCTGCGGACGGGCGGCCGCGCTCGGCCTCCGCGCACAGCTCCGCTCGGCTGGCTCCTCGCGCGGCGGGACCGAGGTCGCACTGGAGGCGCGGCGGGCGGGGACGCGGTTCCCTCCCCGGGGCCTCGGCGGCGGCCGCGACGGCGCAGGAGGAGGCGGAGGAGGGGGCGGAGCGGAGGGGACGGATCCGCAGCCTCTCTCTCTACCGCCTCCCCCTCGAGCCCGCGCGCGCGCGCACCCGAGCCGGCCGGCAGCCGCGGCGCGTGCGCGCGCTCACCTGCGGCCGCCGCGGAAGCCTGGGCGGCTCGCGCTCCGCCCACACCCAATAGGAAGCGCGCACCTGCGCCCACGGCGCCAACCAATCGGTACACGCCTCGCGCGGCGCGTGGGCGGGCCACCTTCTTGAAAATCCCGCCCACCGCCGCGCGATTGGTCCCGCCCTGCGAGGGAGGGGCGGGATCACCTGAAGCCGTGGGCCTCTCCGGACCCAGCAGGAGAGCAGGAGGGCGCATGCGCGGGCTTTGGAGTTTCCGCCCCGGTTAGGCCGGCCGGAAGCGCGAGCGCACCTGGAGACGAGCGGGGCGGGTGGGCCTTTTGCGCACGCGCGGGCGCGCGCCTGGTGGCCCGGGGCCCGACCGGAGCGCGCGCCCCGCTGGGGGATGGAGAGCGCTGCTCAGCGGGTTCCGGGGACGCGGCGGGGCTGCTGGGTTGGGCCGCCCGGTCCCCGCTTCCACTTGGGGATGCTGCAGCTTGCAGCTTCGCTCCCCCTCACCCACTCGCGTCGTTTAGAAGTCCGGCTGCAACTCTGCTTGCAAAATTCAAGTTTTCTCGCTTCTGCAGCAGTTTACTGGGGAGAACGTCAGGCCTCCTCGCTCGGTTTTGTCCGTCAGGTCCGGAGGGGTCGAGTGGGCGCCGGGAGGGAGGGAAAGAGGGCTGAGGCCCGGGATGCTCCTCGCAGCTCCGGCTTCCCTGGGGACTTCTCCTAAACCAGCCCTCCAGGGCTTGCTTGATTTTCTTTTTTATTTATTTTTAACTTCTGAAGCCGTCTTCTTCCCTTCTTCCAGCTGTTTCTTGGCTGTTTGCTGTTTTCACCAATGACAGCCTCAGCCTTGTGTTCGTTTCCCTGAGTGGAGGGACGGAGCCGTGTCCCTGATAAAAACAGACTAAGTCGGGTACTTCATCCCTTCCTCCCCTCATCTCCTGCCTGCCTCAAATCCCTTCTGACACCTTGCATCCTCCTTCCCAGTACTTATGACATGCTTCAGTTTTCCCATGTTTTTGGGAGTCACCCACCTCTGTCCTGGAATGAAAGCTCTGAGAAGGCAGGGACCACGTCTGCTTTGCTCACTGCGAGCAGGTCGCATGGTGCCTGACTCCGGGCGGGGACTCAGATGGTCTTTGCCGGCTGCTGGAGCTGAGGGAGTGTGGTTTCTTCAGGTTAACTTTGCCCCACCGGAGTTCAAAGGTGAGAAACCCATCTTTCCCCCTGAGGGGTTCAGTTCACCAAAGGTTTGTGGGAGAATTTAAGGTTTTTCTGGTCATTTTGGTTGGAAGTACGGATGGAAAACATACCCTTCCAAGCTAAATGATAATAAGGCTGCCTTCTCCACCGCCTGGTCAGAAGCACCTGCTCAGTGACTCAAGCTGAGCTGGAAATGAAGTGTGGCGCTGTGATGGGGCTCCGTGACAGTCTGGTCCCTTGATGCTCTTAAGAATTATGGAGGGCGCCCAAGTGTTTTGTTTATGTGTTACGTCTTTCACTCTGCATGGTATTAGCATTAAAACTGAGAATTTTCCAAGACACAAGAATATACAAGCACACATTCCAGGTAGTCATCAGGGTGATGATGTCATCACATATGTCCCTTCTGGAAAACCCCATCATACACCTGGGAGACAAGGAGGGTCAGGAGAGCAAGTGACATCTTAGTATTGTGAAAATAGTTTTGGCTGAGAATTCTCGAAAAAGGTCTCAGGGACTCCCAGGGACCCCACTTTGAGAACTGCTGACTAGAAAACATGTCACCACTTTTAGGGGTCTGTCCCCTCAGCTGTCACCCTCCTCTCTCCGATTGCCAGGGCCATGCCGTGGGAGCCGGGGTCCCAGTTCTGTGTGAGCAACTGTTGGGTTGAGCTTTATTGCTCTTATCCATCCTGATTTATCAGACCCTTTCGAAAAGGAAGTTCGTGGGTGCCAACGCACCTGTGTGGGCCCTGCATTCCAGGAGCTGTTGTCACGTCCTCTCTCCCCTCCCCCGGGTGTGGCATCTCTCTTTACTTGGACTTTCCTTTCTAGAAGGGAGGGCCAGGCCAGAGCTTCCTGGATCTCCTAAGTGGAATTTGCTCTGAGGCCTGCGTCACAAGTGCGCCTGGGTTGTGTAAGGCAGGAATGTGGAAAATAGTTAGAATTTGATAAAAGCATTGTGGAGGAGGGGCACCCTCTCACTCCGAGGGCTGTGCCGGCCACAAGCTTGTTCGCAGCGCCTGAATTTCAGCCTTTCTGGAGAAGCATGAAGCCCAGAGAAACAGCACAGAGAAGAGTTTATATTCCTGTTTCTTCAGTTTGAAGACTGAACCCTAATCTCATTTCTCTCCATCATGCCTCCCCACCCCCAAATCCTCAAGCTAAAGCTGATCAAGATCTACGTGTGGAATGAAAAGCTAGTCCCGTGCCTGGGAGAATTCATACTCAGTGAGTTAGGGAGATAAGCGAGGTGGGTGTATGCCGTGGACGCCATAAATTAGAGGCTCAGAAAATGATTCGTTAGGAATGGTCTCCTTATTACACCCACACACTGTCAGATCTTTCCAGCCCATCTCTACCTTCGGAAAGAAGCTAGTGAGAGTTACATTTCTGCTCTATCCTCCTTTTCAATGCTTTCTGTCTTTATCTTCTTTTACAATGTAACACAACTGTTGTGTTTTTGGAGTCTGCCTTTTGAGGCGGAAAGGGTTTGTAATTTTCCACGATTATTTGTTATTGATTCTGTCTCACACATGATACTTTTTTCTTTCCTTCCTTCTCCACCTCATAGGGAAAAAAAAGAAAGAGGTGGCAAGAAATCATATATATTGGTGGAGAGATTTTTTTCAAGAAGTTTCTCTTGCCAGCTCTTTTTCTCCTTGATTGCCCAGGTCCCATTTTTGATGGAGCTGGTTAATAATTCTCTGAGAAAGGGCTGAAGTGTATATTTATGAATCTCAGACTACTCACCAAAGCATTTTCAGCCCTTTTGCAGGGGTGGAATTAAGTCATATGATCTATTTTCTGGTTAATAGTTTATAACACTTTAGTGCTTTGTGTGGGGGTGGGGTGGGAGTGCTAATGAATTATCTCCTGGAGCCTTAAGAAGGTGGATACCTTTTTAGGTAAAAACCCATCTTCCTGGGGGGCAGTATGTGCCAGGCACTGTGCCTGAGCCCTGCCCTTGAGCCGTTTGCTTGCCGACCTTTCCCCTCTCTGGGACTCAGTGTCTCCATCTGTAAATGCAGGCGCCTGATGAGATCATCTCCACAATCCCTTCCAGCGATTCACATTCTGTGGTACCCCAGGGATGCTGGAGATGGGTAATTATTTCAACATTACCGGGGGATGCTGGAGATGGGTAATTATTTCAACATTACCAGGGGTGAACTGGCAGGAGCAGGGTAATCTTTCCACCAGTGTCCGTAGACGGGCTGCAGCCACCAGCTAAAGTCTTCCGGTCCCTAGAAGGTGCTGATGAAGATGATGATAACGAACATTTCTGAGGGTCCCACCTGGTGCCGGGAACTGTGCTCAGTGCCTCCCCATGGATTATCTTATTTACTCTTAAGTAGCATGAAAGACCTTTATATTTGGAGGCACTCAGATCTTAATTTTTTTTAAGTGATAGATATTAATTTGAACCCTTACTCTGCTCCTTGCTGGCTGGGTTCCCTGACCCTCTTCCTTTAAGCACTCAGAGCCTCAGATTCCTCCTCTATAAAAGGGGACTGGCAGCACCTACCTCACGTCATTGTTGCAGGAACAGATGAGAAACAATACATGGCACTTCTCTGCAAACCATCAAGTGCGGTGCGAATATTAGTCGTTATTATTTAGCAAATAACACTGCCTATCAAAGCCTAGGTAGAATTTCAAGAAACCCTTTGAAAGAAAACAGAAATGTGTAATAAACCATTCTTGTTTTCACATAGGGCGACCTTTTAGTGGGCATCTCATAATTACAGAGGCTGAGATGCAGCCTGCAGTACTCATTAAGAACATGACTTCCCCACGCCTGCATTCACATTCTGCCTCTGCCATTTCCTAGCTGTGTGACCTTGGGCAAGTTCTTAACTTTTCTGAGCCTCCATTGCCTCATCTGGAAAAAGGGGATAAGAGAATTAGTTGTTGTCTTCATTCCTGTACGAAGCACTTAAGATAGGACCCAGCGCAGAGTAAGACTCCGTAAATGTTGCCTGTTATTGGCATTATTGCTATAATTATTTTTATTACCGCCTTCCATAATAGAATTCAGTAACATAATAAGTATTTATTGGGTCTCAACTGTGTATATAACACTGTCTTTGGCTTGGAGATAAAAGATAGTAAAAAATAAAAGAATGAAAATACGATTCTTATGATCCAGCACTTCCCAGTTCCCACACAGGTCAGTTCAGCAGACACCCCTCAGCACCCACCAAAGATCATCAGGCAAGGAAACACAAACATGAATAGGATGGAGTTCTTGCCTCCGAGGAACTCGGGTCCAGCTGAGAAGTCAGGCCGACGAGAGGTGTCTTCTGGAAGTGATAGGCACAGTGGTTAAGGGTGGTGGGGGGCTTGTCGCAGTTAACATCTGGCTCTACCACCAACCAGCTGTGGAACTCTGGGCATGTGTCTTTTTTTTGGGGGAGGGGGGTGAGGAAGATTGGCCCTGTGCCAGTCTTCCTCTATTTTGTATGTGGGATGCCACCACAGTGTGGCTTGAGGAGTGGTGTGTAGGTGGGTGCCAGAATCCGAACTGGTGAACCTGGGGCCACCTAACCAGAAAGTTTGAACTTAACCACCACACCACCAGGCCAGTCCCTGGGCACGTGTCTTAATCTCTCTAAAGACCACTTTTTTCAGGAGAACACTGAAAATAATACTATTATACTTATAAAAGTAATACTATTTACCTTCTTTGAATTAATAAGTATATTGAGTGTCTCTTCTGTGCCAGGCAATAATCTAGAT